TGGTCAAACATCAGTTGGCTGTATTTATGTGGGTCTATTTCTGGGCTTCCTGTTCCATCACATTGATCTATTGGTCTCTTCTCTTGCCAACACCACACTGTCTTGATTACTGGAGCTAAGTGGTAAGACTTGAAGCTGAGTGGTTGTCGGTCCTCCAACATTATTCTTCTCCAATATTGTGCTGTTGTTCTGGGTCTTTTGCCTTCCCATATAAACTTTAGAACCAGCTTTTTAATGTCCCTAAAATAACTGGCTAAGGTTTTGAATCAGATTACACTGAATGTACAGACAAATTTGGGAAGAATTCACATCTTGACAATGTCATAGTCTCCCTAACTGCAAACATGGAATTGCTCTTCGTTTAGTTCTGCGTTGATTTCTTTCAGCAGAGTTTTATGGTTTTCCTCATATGGGTCTTGCGAGATTTATACCTAGTTATTTCACTTTTGGAGAGTGTAAACAGTATCATGTTTTTCATTTCACTTGCTTATTGCTTACATATAGGAATCAATTGACTTTAAAAATTTTTTTTATTTGTCAATGTACCTTTATTTCATTTATTTGCATGTGGTGTGGAGAATTGAACCCACTGCCTCACACATGCTAGGCAAGCGCTCTACCACTGACCCATAACCCGAGCCCTCAATTGACTTTTGTACATTAGCCTTATATTCTCTTATAATCTCTTATTAGTCAATTCCCCTGTGTCAATTCACCTATAGAAGGACCTCTTGGTTTCTTCTAGCTTATGACAATTAGGAATAAAACTGCCAAACATTCATGTGGACGTAAGTTCTCAAATTAGGAACATGAATTCACATGGCAAGGCTTTGTTTACTTTTGTAAGCCACCACCATGCTGCTGTTTGTAACAAAGCTCTCTGTTTCCTTCCAGGTATGAATGGTTTCTCTTTCTGCCATGATTCTTTCCCTCATCAGACCAAGCCTTTGAAGGCAGGGACCATAGATGTGTTGATCACTGATGTAGCCTTGGCATTCAGCTTCAGACTGTATACACAGAAGGTCCCTAAAGAATATCTGATTAATGAATGAGCAGATAAACAAAGTTTCAAGACCTGAACATTTGTAGTTGAGGATCTGGGGATGGAGCTCAGTGGTAGAGCATAAGAGGCTTGGGGTTCCATCCCAGGATGGCAAAAAAATACACACATGCACGCTGGGTGTGGTAGCACACCTGTGATCCTAGCAACTCTGGAGACTGAGGCAGGAGGATTGCAAGTTGAGGCAAGTCTGGACAACTTAGACTCTGTCTCAAAAAATAAAAAGGGCTGAAGGTGAGACTCAGTGGTAAAGCACCCCTGGGTCAAATCCCTGCTACCAAAACAAAACAAACAAACAACAACAAAAACTCTGTGAGTGAGTGTGTGTGTATTTGCACTATATCCCTGCCTTAGGAATTCCAAAATTCAGCTCTTATTTTAACCTTGACAGACCTAGGATTGGCACTGAGATCCCATAATACAAGTTCTCTACCTCACTAATCTCCATTCTCCCATCCCAGTATCCTTCTTTATGCACATTATATATTTTGCCTATTGTGGTTAAAACTGATTTAGAATCAAATAATCAAGACTTCCACCAAGTTGCTTCTGCCTCACATGATAGGTTTTCTTCTCTGTTTATAGTAAGTATTCTTACATGTACTGGATTGTGCTTTGGACACTTTAGTATTTTTCTGGTTTAACACACTTGAAACAATCAGTCATTTCACTTTTTTATTCCAATAAGAGTCCTTGGACCACTAATCAGCTCCCGTAACTATATCATGAAGCCACACCTATAGAATTTTCCCCTAGGAGACTTATAGCCATGTAAAAAAATCTCTCTCTACAGCCTTACAAAACTTTAATCAAACAGCTTTTGCTTGGAATTTAAAAAGACATTTGTCCTCAGGGCTAAAATTAGCCAAGAAAAAAAAAAGATTAAAAACAAAAGCAAATATAGAATGTAATCAGTACTTTCAAAATGAGCTCAATCTGCCCTTCATCTTCATTTATAACGCTTGCTTCTCCTTACCCTTTAATGGGACAGGCAGTAGTTGTGCAGAGAATCTATTTATGAGTCTGAGGGCTCCAAACAGATAAACTTCGCAAGCTTGTGGCCTTCTGTGGTTTGCAAGGTCACAGAGAGCTTTGGTTTGAATGATGCATATGATGATCACACTCTGAGTAGCCACACACTCCAAGTCTTGTACATTTTTACCAGATGTCATATGTCTGGATTGTTTTTCAGGGCTATTAAATATCTTTTTTTTTTCCTACCTTGGTGAATGGATCTGTTTGGAAGGAAATGCAGCTAATATTTATTAGGGCAGTATGAGGGCTATCCTTTACATCTGAAGGTGGAGCCAGCCATCTCACTGATTTTCAAATAGGTTTCCAGAATCTGGGGAAGATATTTACAACTAACAATGAGAGGGACAGACCCTTGAAGTTTTCCACATCCCCCTTACACTAGGAAGTGTCTCGTGCTCACCCGGTCCTGCCTGACAGCTCCCCAACAGTGCTTGGGCTAAGTGCTTCTTTGCCACGGTGCTCACTCTTTCCTAGGGGCACGTGCTTTTCCATTCCCCACCGGGAGGAAACCTGCTTTCCTTAGATCTTTCTTGAAATACCAAACCCCTCCCGGCCCTCAGACACTGATCATCTGCTTCCTTTGAACTGAGTATTTCTGTGGTTGCAGTTGCTGTATCAAACTGAAATTAACTTTTGCACCGTGGGCCTATCCCAGTGCCTGGCTTCCGGGAAACACTCAGAAAATGGACTCTGGGGCCCTTGACACCTTCATGGACAACTTTCTTCCACCTCTGAGGGAACTTTCCAACTCCTGAAAGTGGAAAAACCGTACAAGAAACAAAGCGATATTCTCAGAAACATCTCTTTGCTGCAAAGACAACACAAAATATGCACAATTTAGTCAATCACTGGTTTTCATCTCATTTCAGGAGCTGTAGTTATCTGTCATTTTAGGAGTAGTAAGGAGAGAATGGAATCATCATTTCGGCTGGTGACTGACATTTAGCTCTTCTTCCCACTGACATTTACTGAGGGAGATGCACAGGGTTAACATCTATGAAGACTCTCAAGATCCACAATGCCCCCTCTCTCTACCAGCGCCCTTGTCTATTTATAGGGACACATCCAGGTGTAAATTACAAAGGAATCTTACTGTGGACGCTGAGGCTCGTGCTGTCGGCTGACTGGGAACTCATCCAGTTGTTTTTTCCGGTAACTGCCCTCATAAGTTGTCATGCAGGAATTAGACCATCGGGTTTCATTCTGCCAAGATGCTCCGGCCTTGCGTCTGATCACCTCAAACTCTTGAGAAGTGAGAGGGCTGAAGGGTAGAAGAATTTGCGGGGTCAAGTATAAGAAGTGTGACATAGCTGTTGATGGTCTGCGGGGAATATCCACTGCTTAAGCCCTCTGAATAATGAAGAATTAATTCCCTTGTAGGGTCAGGAAGCAATGCATGAGGCTCCCCAAACTTCATAACTCTGACAGCTCACAGAGTGCGGAAGAGTAACTGTCTTAGGTACAGTTGCCAAGCAACGGGTCCCAAAATTCCGCAAATCCTACTCCTCACTCACACACAAGTTTTAACCAACAAATTTATGTAAGTTATATAACTGCTAGTCCCTGCTCTACGAAATATATACTGCTTTGCCATTACATCAAGGAAGCCCTCGGCAGGATTATTGTCTATATCTGCTTCATGAATAAAGCAGTGAATCCTAATGGTTTCAGAAGTTTGGGAATAATATTTAAAATGATGGGGCCAATTCCATCACCCCTACATACCTAGCCTCCAAGCGCCTGGGAGAGAACACCAGCTGCTTGTGATGTCAACAATAGCAGGTGACCCAACAGCTTCTCATGTGTCACAGAGCAATGGTACTGGCACTAGAGTCAAAATAAGCAGAAGCCCAGAACCCAATGCCACAGATTCTGACTTAACTGGTCTGGAAGAAGGCCCAGACATGGGTATTTTTTTTAAGAGCTTAGTTCTAGAAGGTTCTAAAGAGCAGCCAGCGTTAAGAATTGAAGTTATGGCCATGCTTTGTTGATTATGTCAGGGTATATCCTGGGGTTGTATATAACTAAAAATAATTTTAAAAAATTTTTAAAGAATTAAGATCATGGAAATGCCATGGTGAACTTTGTAAAGGTGGAGAAGAGAGAGCATTCTGTCTTCCTCTCACAGGCTCCCCCCATACTAATAATCACCCTAACTCTGGTTAGCGCGTTTGTCCCTTCTCGCTTCTCCAGATTAGCAAACAATTCTTTGGCAACTTCAAACTGATCTTTTGACATGAATTCTAACTCCGGGAGCAGCAGTCTCAAGCCTCAGGGCTGTGGCCTGTGGAATTCTTTATAAACACTGACTCCAGGCCTTACCTCAGGGGGGCTGATCGGGGATTCTGCAAGTAGAGCCGTTATCCATCCGTGTGGAAGAGAGAATCTCCATCGGTGACTTTATTGGCATTAGTGGGGCTTGTTCAGCCTAAGACCTCAGAGATGGGTTCCGTCTGAGGCAAAGCCCAGGCATCTGCATCCTTATAGTTATTGATTCTGAGGCGCTCAATCTTTGAATATGGGCAACGGTGCTCCAGGAGTTAGATTTTTAAGTCTTAGAGGGAGGCTGACCCAGCCTGGTCTGTTTCTCCAAGAATGAAATTATTCGCAAATACTCATTAGTGTGTTACACGAGGGGTTTCTTTCCTTAAAATGTTAAAATATGGAACGTAAGCACCTTTGCCCTAGGAAAATGATCTGGACAGATATCTGAAGGCTCAGCTGCTCTTACTCATGGCATTGAAGCCTTCCAGAGAAATCCAGATGAGCTTAACAACAACAAAACACACCTGGTTTCCAGGAACAGCTGTTTATTGTTTGAAGCTTTAACTATTTAAGCAAATAATGGTGGTTTTACTTTTACCTGTGACAATGCCAGCAATATTACTATTTGGAGACAGGAAAATAAATAGAAAAATTATGACAGACTATTGGTAAAAATTTTCTTCTCAAATTATATGGTGATCTATAAACCCATCTGCAGTAAAAGAAGGTCTTTTAAAAAATAACTCGCAGTGTACTTTATTATCACTTTCCTGTCCTCTAATATATGTTTCTTTCTCCCAGAATCAATTATATTGTTTTAACAATTATAACCTCAAGAACCGGCAGGAATAACATTTAAGTGAATATGTCTATTATTATTGAGTTTATATGGAGTTATGGACTGATAGATGTTGAGACGTCCGTTAAAAATAAGTTGGACTTGCTGGGGATGAGCAAAGCCTTGGGTTTAATCCTGAGCAGTGCCAGAGAGAAAGAAAGTGAGAGCGAGAGAAAGAGAAGAATAGAACAGACTGATCCAATTTATTATAACAAGTATTTATGAGAAGTCTGAGTCAGGCATGATGGCTTGTAATCCTGGTGACTTGGGAGGCTGAGGCAGGAGGATGGGGAGTTCAAACCCAGCCTTAGCAACTTATTGAGGCCCTAAGCAACTCAGTGAGACCTGTCTCTAATAAAATATCAAAAAGGGCTGGGGATGTGACTTGGTACCAAAAAAAAAAAAAAAAAAAGAAGTCTAAAGGAGTCCTCATGTGCATCCTTTGTTCATATTTTATGATGAGGTTGTTGTTTTTCATGGAGGCTGGCATTCAGCACTGAGGTGTATGGTGTGGCTTCATGTGGGAGAGTCTGCTCTAAACTGCCTTTCGTAACTGCATCCTGGTCAGTTGTGTTCTCAGTCCCCAGCATGTACAGTGCGACCAGGAATCCAATCAAGAACACTGTGCCAATGAACTCTAGATGGTGAGTACAATTTAGCAGAAACAGGGGCTTCTGAGTAACCGAGCTCGTACCAAAGAAAACCAATCAGGTGCATGCAAGCCAGCTGATGGCAAAGGAGTGGTCCCCGGGCAGGCCTGGACCAGGCTTGTAAACACAGCTGAGGATTCGAGTGAGGTGTTAATCGACATTCCTTAAGCTTCTTGGTCAAGGAAGTTTAGATCAAATTGGGAGTCGCGTGTATCTTTGCAGTGGGACTGCCCAGAGCTTTCAGTACTTCAGTGGACATCGTGCATCTTGCAGAGGGGCCCAGCTTCTGCACATCTCCCAAACTTGTTTGACCTCGAAAATCATGGGGAGGGGGCGGTCTCTCTAGGGACTGCTATTCTATGGAATGGTCAGGACCTGAAGACCGAGACGATGGCTGGCCCGTGGTCACCAAATTTATTAAAGCTTAACTAGATCTAGAGCCTAAAGCATGGGCAACCGGCAAAAGGTCGATCCAGGAGGATTTTGTTTAAAAAAATGATAACATCAAGCAGTAAAATAAACATACACACCTAAGTAACTGTAAACCCATATCCAGAATTCTAGAAGGCTCTTCTGAATGCCCCTCTCCAGTCAAAACATCACACACACACACACACACACACACACACACACACACACCCTGCTACCTATATACCACTATTTTGATTTCTATTATCATAAACAAGATGTCAGTTTATGTTCTGTGAAAGCAGAAACTCATGTTACTGAAAGATGAATCCAGGAAGAAACCAAGGTAAAGAGCAAGGAAGACTAAATTCCTGGGGAGAAAAGACCGTATTTGAAGATGAAGCTTCCATCTCAGCCTGAATCTGCCTCCTCCCTAGAAGGTGGCACATTCTGCTATTTGCATGAGTGTGGCTCACATCTGCGTCAGCACACACAATGGGTGATGGTAACCGCTGGAATCTTTCAGTTATAATATCTACTCCCAGTTCCTGATTTTGGTGTCATTGCTTCATGCTTAACAGATGTGTGATTGGGAAATTTTTAGTAACACATCAAAGACTGTGGTAGCTGGTCTCAGGAAACAAAGAACCACTTATAACAGGGATAGAGGGAAATAAAAGAAGGAAAGAAAAGAAGAACAGGAAAGGAAATTGATTAAATAAGTGAGAAGTCTCAAAAGAGGACTACTTTTAATTTGCTTTCCTATAGTTCGTTTGATATGGTTTACTATTTGAAAACCAAAACTGATTACAAATAGTGTATCCATTGTGATCCCAATTTGGTTTAATAAAAAGTGTGTGTGTATCTCTATTGAGGAGGAAAGTCCTGGAAGGCGAGACATAAAATGCTAATGCTATAGCTGAGTAAGAAGATATGCATGATTTTTATATTTTATATTCTTTTCTTTATTTTCTGAACCTTTTTACAATGAACACATGTAGCATATAATCAGAGCCAAAATGTTGTTTTGTAAAAACTAAAACAAATTATGTGCATCCACATGTCGTCAATCACTCCGTCTTGCGGGGAATCTCTCTTAGATGTGCTTTTGGATTTACTTTTTCACTTCTGTCTAAAGTCTATGCCTTAAGGAAGAAGATCAAAACATTGAAGGCAAAGACATTGGAAAGGGTTAAGGTTTCTATGTGGACCTCAACCCTGTCTATCCATAGATACCCACATGTGGTGGTCTTCAGATAGCATCCCGTCCTCAAATGAGCCAAAGGCTTATTATAATAATCAAAACTAAAAAAGGAAAAAGAAAAGAACAACCCACAATAGTGGTTGTGGCTTGGTGGATTTCACAGTGGCAACTCCTGGGATAAACAGCTGGTGATGGTGACTGACTTCTTCAGCTCAGCCCGGGAGAGAGCGGGGAAGAGATCACAGGCAGAGCTGGCTCCTCTCTCCTCTGCTATAAAATCCAGCCATTGCTGCTCCGTTCCATTTGGACGACAATCTGTCTTGTGTACAACACACTGTTAAGATAATCAAGAGTCATTTGGAAGGATATTTTAAAAGGTCTTTACAAGTTCTGTCCTTGCTTAACTCCCACCATACGTCAGAACAGTAATTGGTAAATATAGAAGAAAGCACTTATATGTTTCCGGCACTTTCCTAAGCGTTTAACACTCATCAGCTCTCTTAATTCTCACAAGCACCCTATGAGGAAGTACCACTGTTGTCCCATTTTACAGGGGAGGAAACTGTGCCGTGGCGTACAGCTAGGAAGTGGTGGAACTAAAGCTGGAACTCCAGCAAGGGCTGCAGATCTTGAACTCTGTGGGCTACTGAATTTTGCTTCGCCTCCTTACCCGTCAGTCTCTACCTATTGCTGCCCAATGCCGCCTTCTTCCCCTTTAGTTTTATTCTTTTTTTTTTTTTTTTGGTGCCAAGGATTGAACCCAGGGGTGCTTAACCACTGAACCACATTCCCAGCCCTTTTTTGTATTTTATTTAGTGACAGGGTCTCACTGAATTACTTAGGGCCTTGCTAAATTGCTGAGGCTGGCTCTGAACTCATGATCCTCCTGCCTCAGCCTCCAGAGCCGCTGGGATTACAGGCATGCGCCACTGTCCCAGGCTGGTCTTACTCTTGCTGACTACACCCTTCCTCCTTAGTCCAGTCCAGAATCATTCCTAACAACCTGCACATGACTCACTTTTATGTTCCAAGAAGCTCCTACTCATGACCTGGTAAGCATGCCCTGCAGAGAAATACCAAATAATTACAGTTTTTATCTTTTTAAACATACTGTCATCTTATGTTCCCAAGCTGAGTTTCGTAGAATTATTTATTGGAAAGAAGCATATGACCTCCTGTTACATGCATTCTTTAAATAATTTAAAGATCGAAAAGCCAAGTTTAAG